TATATATATATATATATATATATATATATGTTCCGATTTCTCGCTGCGGAGTATATGCTTTATAATTTTTACTCAACTATTATTTCACACAACACTATTTTTCATAGACAAACATGGTAAAAAATTAAGAATAGTAAACGTTTTTTTTTGTTGTAATAAACCCATCAACGACGCCATTCGCATTCACGTATGGAGGAGTTATTGAGAAGAAAAAGACTTTTGTCTTTTCTTTTAGGGAACAACTCTTCAGGTGGGTGCCATGGGAGTTGACTTTAGAGAAAAATCCGCATAGCAATGATTAAAAAAAAAATAATAACAAAAATCCGCAAAATCAGATACTTTATGCTGAATACGAAGAAGGGCTATGATTTGATTCAAATATAAATATAATAGGAGGTAGTGAGAATGAGATACCAATTTTTGAATATGATATGATATGTCTATGGTTCATATTTATGTCCCCTCAGTGTATTTAATTGTTTTACATACATATGCGCGTGTGGTGGGGTGGGAATATTTATGAAAACTATCGAACGAGATTGATGCCTTCTCCAACCGTAATGTTCCAAATATTCCTTTTTTTAATAATAAAATATTCATTTTTCTGTCACCAAATAAATATTCCTTTTCATGTTTTTCTAAATTACAAAAATTGTTATATAATCAAACAGTCTGCATATGTCTTTTAATGCAGTATTTTAAAATCACAGAGCCTTCCTTGCAACATTGTCCACAACATGTATTTGGGCCGGCACCAGTTTACCCATATATTTGGGCGGGCCTCTGTCATTATTTTTTGGGCCAATAGTTTGGGGGTTATGTTTTTTTTTTTATCAAAGCCATTAAGTCGGTCGTCACGAGTCCCTGATTTTCAAATTTCGTGTTAATGTTTTTTCAGCTCTCTCTCTCTCTCCCCTCCTCCTCTCCATATACGTTCGAAATCGCTTGAGGTGAGAGATTTGCCAGCGAGATCAGCGGGGCGGAGGAGAAATGTTGGGCAAATGGTGTAGCAAATCGGATCTCAGGAATATGCGACTCCGGTTTCGAGAGATCCGACAAAAGTCTCTAAAGGTGAAATATCTGCAATCGAACTGTCAATTACTGGATGATCCCTGATTTTGCATCGGTGCACGTTGCGTATTCTCGGTTTAATTGGGTTTAGGTTTGTTTTGGGATTCGGTTTTACGGTCTTCTGGGGCACAAGTTGCTCAAGATAGCATAGATAGAGACGAAGTTGCAGATTCCATTCAGTTAATTGATATACAAAATTCTAAGGCCTTTGTTCCATTTTTGTATGTCCCGTTCCCGCAATTAACATAATTGATTGGTTTTATCGTGATTCTGTTTGGAGCCTAACAATGTGTGCTGCTCTATTGTATTGTCTCCATGTTTGGCTCAAATGCATCTTTTTGCCTGGTTTCATATGGCACCCCATTTTTCTAATGGCGTCGTGTCGCTGAGGATTTTACTGAAGAAGACCACCATTTTGTTTTTCTTGGTTTTCTCGTGACAATTGGGAAAAAGGCCCATGGGCTCAACTGGATAGTCCCAGAAAGATGTGTTGTTGTGGCTAAACCCGTACAAGCCCATTTACCGAAGGCCTTACTATGTTCAAATGTCTTATATAACTGCCGAATGCCTTTTAACGTTTTCATTCCGCCCGGCAGGGGTTTTCAAAATCGCTGGGAGAGAAAACTTCCTCTGTATCCGTAACGGCGGCGGGGAAGGGGCACCATAAATTGACCGAAATGGAGTCTGCCGATGAAGCCGAGAATCTTTCTCATCTCCAACAGTCCCGTTTTCAGGTGATTCTGTCCTCGCATCTTCTCACTTCTCTTTCGTACTGTTAATATCTAGGTTTTAGCATGATTTGTTGTTGCCAGTGTTGTCGAAGAACACTTGCATCTCCGAGAATGCTCTAACGCCAGGTTGTCTTCTGAGAACACATCCACATCTCACATCCGTTTTGTGGTTCGTGTAATTAGTAAACATTTTTAAAGTGCGTCGAAACATGTTCAGAGTGCATCCAAATATACTTAAAGAGCATCGAAACATGTTTAGAGTGCATCGAAACATTTTTACAGTGCGTCAAAACATTTTTAGAGTGCGTCGAAACATGTTTAGAGTATGTCGAAACATGTTTAGAGTGATTCGAAACAAATTTAGAGTAAAACGCCATGATTCCTGGTTGTTTGAACTCGTTACTATCTCACATTCGGTTTCTAACTCGAGTAGATAGTTTCATGTTTGTGATCGGTAATGGAAGTGAAAGACACGTATAAGTTATATGATGGCAAATATTATGCTCGGAATATGTCCCTGTGACCTCCTAGAAAACATGGAGTCAACCAAATTACTTCGTTTTGAGATTGGAGACTTCTTGAAGATTTCCAATACATTTGAATGATGTTAACCAAATAACTTTGCTGTCTTTGACTGATCTGTTAATTGAGGACTAAACATAAAGGTCTGGGTGTATATTTCTTTACCTCTCCTTTTGTTTTTCTTGTAACTTTCCAATAAATGGAGCAGTAAGCCATTCTGCATTTTTGTGAATTTTTTAATTGATTTTCCACTCGCAAGATATGTTGTCTAGAGAAGTCGAGAGGTTCACCATGTCTGAGTCTGACTTGTTGCTGTCGCAAGTGAATGAAGCTGTGTAGTATTTGCTTAACCTCACATCAGGAGCTCTGTAGCCCCCACAATGGGAATCAGCAACACCAACAACACATATGATGCCATTGGCGAGCCAGGTAATCCTAGAGAGCAAGGACATCATGACTGTAACTTTAGTATCCCAGCAGCAGATTATATCGAAGGTAGTGCTACCTTTATGCATTTTCAGGCGTTTGGTGTCCCGACTGGTCCTTATGTGAACATCATAGTTGATGCAATTACTTCAGAAATCTCACCTAGATTTTCTGCTGAAACCAAGGCTGAGGCAGCAACGGTTGCGCCTACTGGGCGCCCAGTGAGTTCTTGTCTATTTATTTTTCTCTTATTACCGACTACCCTGTGTGTTTAGTGCTTTAGTATACGTTCAAATTGCATTACACTTTTAATGCACCATTTTTACTACAATAATCAAACTGGATACTGTGTTCTATACTGTTCTAAATCAGATCTTGGAGGACTTAGTGCTAGGTGATTATGCAGTCTTGTGTGTACTGAACAACCTTTTTTTCTGAATGCAGGTTGATTGAAGGAACGGACTATAAAATCAGTGAACAATCATTTTTTCTCTGTTTATCAACTTCTCCAAGCAAGTTTACCTCTGTAGGAGAATACGTAACATGATGGGCTTCGTGCCCCACTTCCAATGGTTGCAGCTTCGCTATATTTATCTTGGCAAAGCCACGGCTTAGTTACATGGCTTAATGGAACCATACACGTATTGGGAGCTAAGACAAGTGCCAATCACAAAGGGTTATTTCTTCTTTGATTGTTCCTTTTGAGGTTTTATGCAATTCCAGGTAACAAGCTCTCTCTGTTCTCACAGCTGGCCAGTTTTGAAATGTGTGATACACTTCCCGCCCTCGTTCATTGGTCTCTCTCTTTTGGTTGAGGTTTCTGTCCGTTTTTGGATTTGTAGCATATTTGGTAGAGCTCCGTTGTCTTTCTTATCCTTGAGAATAGTTGCTCATTTCGCCATCGATTCCTTGTGTTTGCGTAAACATTAACAAATGAAAAGTTTGTCGACTTTCTACGCTTGGTTTTTGGGCTTTAATGAGCAAGATAAACGATAAAAGTACCCTATTCACCCAGTTAACTGGCCAGTGTTGCTATATGGCTTTCGCAGGGAAGAATTGGGCTGCATTTCGGCCAATATCTGGTCAAATTCGAGCTTTAATCTAAGACACGGACCATTCAAGGGCCTGGTTAACGATTTTGGGCAATTAAGACCGTTGTAAGCTGATAAATGGGCTGTCTTTGTTATTGAAATTTTATATTGGGTTGCTGACAGGCCGATTGTAGGCCTTAATGGGCTTTCAGAAAGACTTGTCGGTCCTTTAGTTTAGTCGACAAACATATATTATTGTGCTTTAATTGGGCCTTGACATGTTACATGTTTGGGCCCAGTGAGCCATAGTTTCATGGACTTTTTGCGGTGAAGTGTCTTATTGGGCGCTTACTAAAAAGTATTTGGGCTTAAAATTGGGCGGGTTATAACCGTTTTAAGACGCTGGGGAATGGGACATGAATAGGCTCCAATTGGGCAAGTCTGATTGGGTCATGGAAGGCAATTGCGTTGGATAGGAGGGGTATTCCATCCTAAATGGGCCTTAAGTTGGCTATGATGGTCCTTTGATGTGCAGTCCGGAAATGGTCGTAGGTTGGAAATATTGGGTGACTGTGACTTTACTTGCCATGGGGATCTTACTGCTAGGGCAATGACTTTCGCGGTCATACAACACCATATCCTCGACTAGACCAGCGATGATACTGGAAGTTTCTTCTACCTCAACAAACATTGAAGGTGTGGAAGTGATTTTACCTTGGTCTTCCATAAACTTCAACCCCCAAATGAGGATGCTGACTCTGCCTCGCCACCTCCATCATCCAAAGGCTTTTCTTATCATCATCTGCTACTCCTCCCTTGACACTCTCCACACAGATTCACCATACAGACCAAAAAAAAAACATCCCCAAAAGGGTAATCCCATTATATCTTAAATAATAGAAAAAGTTTCATACCTGCCCCTCCACCCTCAGAAGCTTCTTTGGAACTGCCAGAGAAGCACTGGCACAACTACGCATCTTGTAGCCTTGCAGACGCAAAACGACCTTGGCTTGTCTTAACGACAAAATCTGCAAAACAAATAGTAGAATGAAAGAAGAAGAAAAAGTATAGTAGTGGACGTACAGATTCTTTAAGCAAAGTATATATACCTTCTCGGGAAGACGGTTAAAAGTTGAGCACCTCCGTCTTACCAAGACACCACACCCCTGCTGAAAGCAGCACCCACTAAAAGCAGCGACTCTCTCAGGACCTGTATGAGACAGCAGAATGATATTGCGTCTCTTGGAACACATCTCTTATTTGCTTTGATAGGTGGTTTAGCACAGGAATAGGATCCCAATTGCTAAACCACAGGTTCTCTAAATGCTAAACTATGCAGTACTTGATAATACTAGATGCTCATCTTAGTTTTAATTGATATCACAGACTTACAAAAAAAAAAACAGAGTACCAGAATAACTTGAAATATATTTTCTCGCCGTTTTTCAGCAGTGTTATTTCACTCGTTTTCATAGATCATCATTGCAAGCAAATCAATAGACAACCGTTTGCAACACACCGTAACAGTGTTTAGATTTTGATTTGTCCAGTGCTGATTCCATGGCCTTCCACTCATTTTTAAAGTACGCTAAGCGTTTTTCCTATTTAGCCAAAGATCTCACTGAAGAAATATAAAATCCGATCAAGGATTAAACGAGGAATAAAATCAGTGTGGCGTACCTCACGAGTCACGGCTCAAAAAAAATCCAAAGTTATACAGGTCTTAGTTCAGATTCATTGGAGGGTATGCGCCAGGCGGTGCTAGAGTTCTGCAGGTCTCAGATCAGACTCCTCGCTGTCATTTGGCTCTGAGTTAGATGAGCCGGGAGCTCCAGAATTTAAGGGCAACCTTTGGAGCTAACATCCATGTATCTGATGATGCACAGAGATATGGAAAATTGGACAAATACCGTCATCTTAACATCTTTATATTAAAGACAGATTCAATTCAACAGAAATGAAAAGAAAAACCATAACAAAAACCAAGAGTTATTATTAAGTCAACATCATCTTCAGAAATAATTACGATACAGCTTGAAATTAACAAAGGAAAGAAAAGCCTGCATCAATATCAAAAGTGAAAGATCGGCATTTAAAAAGGAGTTGGTAGCTTAATGAACCAAGCCAAAATGAGGAGCTCGAACAGAAAGAGAAGATCATGAGAGGCAGTGGATTCATACCTCAAAAGCCGACATCAGTCGTCATAACTTGCTATAAGCTATAACACACATGACGTTTCAACACAGCGTCTAACAGCTCTATTTCTACTAACTGCAATCCCGCAACATGTTACCAATTCTCCAGAAGCATCAAAACCTATCCAACAATATAGGAAAGGGACGGAGGAAGCGAGAGAATGCCAGAGGGAAAGAAAGAGAACCTGTACAGAATAAGATTCACTTGAAGATATTTTTGCATTATGGTCATATTCTTCGCAGCGTTTCCTTCCTTCCCTGTAAAAGCACAAACTGCATTGCCGACACAAAATCGAAGAAGAAGTTTCCCAAGAAAATGCGAGAAAACAAAAAACCGTACCAAACAGCCACAGATCTCGAAAATTCTAACAGAACCATAGAACGCGATAAGATTTAAAACACTCACCGAATGTCTGTAGTAGTGCTTCGGCATGATGAATCGCTATAGTGGATATGCCAGGACTCGCTAGGGTTTACGAATCTCCGGAGAAAAGCATAAACTCATTATTTGAGAATTTCGAATCAGGCTAATGACGACAAGGGAAAACGCAGAATTTTGAATCGGATGGGGATGGATGGGCGAAGAGAGACCACGGTTTACGAACCTCCTCTGCAGGAGAAGAGGAGACGAGACTATTGCACTACAAAGCGCTAACGTCGGTGAAAAGGCAACATTTTGAATTATGATGGGCTTTTAAGCTCTCAGGGCCCATTTTCTTGGGCTGGATCTAATTCGGTTTATTATTTGCATAAACCCCCCCGAAAATTTTAAAAAATGATTAAATTTATATATGATTTTTTAAAGGTTCAATAAATACCACCCAAAGTCGAAGAAAAATCCAAATGCATTTTGGATAAAAATTTTAGTTCATTTCTCTCTTTCGATATCTTCGGGGTCCCTTTTATTTTTCCTAATATAAAAAGGAAAAAGTAATAACACGAAACTTGTTTCTCATGCAAGCCTTGACTTGCCACGTCACCTCATACGTGTCACGTTTTCATGCTTCTCGCGTCTCTATAACACAGCAAAGCACCTCGGTCAGCTGAATACCTCTGCGTGTTGCGACTCTCCGAGTTTCTGAGGAAATCATCAATGGCGGACGTCCGTACACAACCCCATCAACTCCAAGTTCATCCACAACGCCAGCACGAAGGCGGCGTGAAAACCCTCCTTCCCCAGCGTGGCCCCTCTGCTACTCAGGTGATTAATTTGTCTCCCTTTGGATCCCATCATCATCAGGAGGCATATATATATATATATATATATATATATATATATATACACACACACATAACATAAACATGTACATGCATATATGTGAATATTGTTTGCATGCGCAGGTGCTGGCGGTGGTGACGGGGATACCGGTGGGGGGGGCACTGGTGATATAAGATTTAAAACACTCACCGAATGTCTGTAGTAGTGCTTCGGCATGATGAATCGCTATAGTGGATATGCCAGGACTCGCTAGGGTTTACGAATCTCCGGAGAAAAGCATAAACTCATTATTTGAGAATTTCGAATCAGGCTAATGACGACAAGGGAAAACGCAGAATTTTGAATCGGATGGGGATGGATGGGCGAAGAGAGACCACGGTTTACGAACCTCCTCTGCAGGAGAAGAGGAGACGAGACTATTGCACTACAAAGCGCTAACGTCGGTGAAAAGGCAACATTTTGAATTATGATGGGCTTTTAAGCTCTCAGGGCCCATTTTCTTGGGCTGGATCTAATTCGGTTTATTATTTGCATAAACCCCCCCGAAAATTTTAAAAAATGATTAAATTTATATATGATTTTTTAAAGGTTCAATAAATACCACCCAAAGTCGAAGAAAAATCCAAATGCATTTTGGATAAAAATTTTAGTTCATTTCTCTCTTTCGATATCTTCGGGGTCCCTTTTATTTTTCCTAATATAAAAAGGAAAAAGTAATAACACGAAACTTGTTTCTCATGCAAGCCTTGACTTGCCACGTCACCTCATACGTGTCACGTTTTCATGCTTCTCGCGTCTCTATAACACAGCAAAGCACCTCGGTCAGCTGAATACCTCTGCGTGTTGCGACTCTCCGAGTTTCTGAGGAAATCATCAATGGCGGACGTCCGTACACAACCCCATCAACTCCAAGTTCATCCACAACGCCAGCACGAAGGCGGCGTGAAAACCCTCCTTCCCCAGCGTGGCCCCTCTGCTACTCAGGTGATTAATTTGTCTCCCTTTGGAGCCCATCACCATCAGGCGGCATATATATATATATATATATATATATATATATATATACACACACACATAACATAAACATGTACATGCATATATGTGAATATTGTTTGCATGCGCAGGTGCTGGCGGTGGTGACGGGGATACCGGTGGGGGGGACACTGATGATACTGGCGGGTTTGACACTAGCAGGTTCGGTGATAGGGTTGATGGTGGCGTTTCCATTGTTCGTGATATTCAGTCCGATAATAGTGCCGGCGGCCATTGCGGTAGGACTGGCGGTGATGGGATTTCTGGCGTCGGGGGCAATAGGGCTGACGGGTTTGTCGTCAATGTCGTGGGTTCTCAACTATCTGAGCAGAGCGAAAGAGGCTGTCCCTGAACAGATCGACTATGCCAAGCGCAGGATGGCTGGCGTGGCTGGCTACGTCGGTTCCAAGACTAAGGATGTCGGCCAATCTATAGAGACCAAGGCTCATGAAGTGCAGATTTCTACATGAGCTATATGTTTCATCGTGTGTGTCACTTTAATTTTAAACAAAAAAAAAACAAGGGTTTTGTGTTTTGCTTCTTTTTTTCTCAAGTGGGACGTTTTAGTGTTTCAATGTTGGTTGCATGTACGACGTTTTTTGGTGAGTTATTTTTGTAACTGATAATAATGTTGAGACATTTCCTCTCTTTATGCTCTTTTATATATCATATACACGTTCGAATCTAAATTGCACGCCAGAAACCAGGAGGAGGAGGAGGAGATTGACCGATACAACCGCAGTGTCCCTAATAACATCTAAAATCTAGACACTGAAAAAATAAGCTGCAGTTAGGGGTGGCCATTTCGGTTATTAACCGAATAACCGAACCGAACCGAACCGAATAAGACATAACCGTACCCGAACCGAACCCGACATCAAAACCGAACGGTTATGATTTCCTTATACCCGAAGAACCGAAACCGAAACCGAACCGAACCGAATAAAAAATAACCGAAAAAACCGAGCGAATAACCGACAATTTTCTTTGAAAAATTGAACTTTTTACCAAAACCGAACCGAACCCGAACCGAAAAATAACCGAACCGAACCGAACCGAAATTTATATAAAAACCGAATGGTTATAGTTTTTCTATAACCGAAATAACCGAACCCGAATATAACCGAACCGAACCCGAACCGAAACCCGAATTGGCCACCCCTAGCTGCAGTCATATAATGCTAAGGAGTAAGGACATGATAAAAAGGGAAGCTAATAATGGGTCTATGGGCCATAAATCTCTAAAGGCCCAAAATAGATGTTTAAGAAATTGTTTCCTAATTGCGTCTGGCATCAATTCAATCTCCGGTCAGCGGCGGTGACCTCCATCGTATTCGCCAGTCTTCTTCGTCAACCACAGTAATGTGAGTGTCCGTCTCTACATCGTGTTGTGTAGTTCTGCTAGCTTCTTGCTATGCTTTCTGCTCATAAGTCTCCGAGATCGTCTGATTTTTTTTTAATCCCAGCTTCTCGTCTTCTAGTTTCACAAAATTGCGCCTAGGGTTTATGAATTCGTTATTGGATTCTGGGTTCTTCCTCTTCTTCTTCTTTCCAAAGGTAGCGTCTTTTTTATTTGCTCGTGCTGATGTTTAGGTTTTATGAGTACCCACGACTTGCTTTCTGTTGAAATCGATGGGGCTTTTCAGTGTCCTGTGCCGCTTTGTTACCATGGCGATCGGGAAAGTCTTCTGCGAGTCTGATTGCTTTTAAAGGAGTCTCTTGGTCTTGTAGTGATTATTACTACAGCTGTAATGCCTAGATGTTACCATTTGATAAGAGAATAATCAAATTCATTGTTTGATGACTGTTTAGTGATGTTGAGTTTCAGAAGAGAATCTCGTCGAAGAGTAATACCCATCACAAGATGTTGCCTGCCGAGTCAAAGAAGGCCCTGTCTTTCAAAAGGTATGTTGACGAGGGAGACTTGGTTATCGTTTATGAGAGGCACGATGCGATGAAACCGGTTAAAGTATGCAAGGATGCCGTGCTTCAGAATCGTTTTGGAGTATTTAAGCATTCAGATTGGATTGGAAAGCCATTTGGCACAAAGGTTTTCAGCAGCAAGGGTGGATTTGTCTACCTGCTGGCTCCCACACCCGAGCTATGGACCCTGGTCTTAAGCCACAGGACTCAGATTCTTTACATTGCGGATATTAGCTTTGTGGTAATGTACTTGGAAATAGTCCCTGGCTGTGTTGTTGTTGAGTCTGGAACAGGAAGTGGCTCATTGACTACATCACTTGCCCGAGCTGTGGCTCCTACAGGACACGTTTATACATTTGACTTCCATGAGCATAGAGCTGCATCTGCCAGGTTAGAATATGTGATCAGCCTCTCTCTCTAAAGTATACGACGTGTGCGTAAACTTGCAAGCTTATACATTTTTCTTTTCCTTGAATATTCGGCAACAGGGAAGATTTTGAGAAGACGGGCATTAGCAGTTTAGTCAGTGTAGAGGTTAGAGACATTCAAGGGCAAGGATTTCCGGAGAAACTCTCGGGTTTGGCTGATTCGGTATTTCTAGACCTCCCACAGCCGTGGCTGGCGATTCCTTCTGCAGCAAAGATGTTAAAGCAGGACGGGGTTCTCTGTTCATTCTCACCTTGCATTGAGCAAGTGCAACGCGCGTGTGAAGCCCTCAAATCAGATTTCATAGGCAAGTTGTCTTCTTCTTGTACGAATTTCTTTCAATGTTTCTTCTAACCTAAGCTGAAGATGTGATCCTTTACTCTTAAGCATTGTTTGAATCTGGGTTTACCCACTACCAAGCATTGGCTTGGGTTGTTTTTTGTTTTGTTGGGCAGATATAAGGACGTTCGAGGTGCTTCTCAGAACATATGAGGTGAAGGAAGTGAAAATGACAGGTAGCGACGGCCAACAGAGAGGTGAGGGAATGGGTCTACGTCCGTGCAAGAGAAGGCACCGTTCTAACGAAGAAGATGGCGATGTTTCAAAGGACAACTCTTTGAGTGCATCGCAGGTCGTAATGGCTCGGCCAAGCAGCGAGTCCAGAGGCCACACTGGATACCTAACCTTCGCAAGGCTCAAATGCCTTCCCTAGTTCAGTCACCGACTGTAACCACACCTCCCCGGCAATTCGGGAGATTTCACAATAACCTTGAATCAAAGAGTGTTTTTGGCCGAAGTACGAATATCCATGCTTATACATTCTAATCGCATGGCGAACTATGGATAAACATTCATTGTGATTACTATCTCTGACTGCGATTCCGTCTGCTATAATGCTGAAACAACAATCATATTCATAAGGTAAAAACAGAAGCACGTTCTCTTAAAATTAGCATCCCGTAACTAACAAGAAAAAGAAACATTTGGTCAACTGCCCATCTTGAAGCCTTTCACTAACGGCATGGAAACACAGAGAATCCCAAAGGAAATAAAAAAAGAATAATTTGAAACCGAGGGAGAAAGATGGCGGCTTTTCAGACATTTAGCACCTAAAACGAAGAGAGCCTCATCACCATAGCCTAATGGAAGCTACGGGTGGAAGGTGGAGGTGGTCCCCTTTCACGATCCCTGCTGCCGCCCCATCCATAACTACTGCTTCTCGTAGGGCTTCTGCTCCTCTCTCTCTCTCTTCCGTTCTCATAATACCTGTTTCAAGCAAATGCCAACCCCTTCAACACTTGGGCCCCCCCATGAAATACAGACAACAGGCAGAAAGGAAATATTATAGACATAAATTATGTAGTGGTAGTACCTGTCACGCGAACCCCAGCTACCTCTCCCCCCATGACCAGAATCACCACGCCCTCCATACGCATAATCACGTCCACCATAGCCAGACCCTCCATTCCTACCCCCAGAGGCAGGTCCCCAGCGCCTCACCTTGTTCATTCCACCACTCCGTGAAGCCATTTCACGTATCTCGGGAGGCACTCGCTGATTTGCTCCTTCTAGAATCTTTATCAGATCCGATGCATGCTTTCCATCTTGCTCCCCAATGAATGTGTGTGCCAGCCCAGTTGCTCCAGCTCTTCCAGTTCTTCCGATTCTGTGAACATAATCCTCTATTCCAGTGGGAAAATCATAATTGATGACCACCCTGTGATTCAAAATGAGAAAAGGGTAACAGCTATCAGCCTTCTTTTCTCGTTTTTCAGTCAGAATGATGACCACCCTGTGATTCAAAATGATCACGAGCTCAAATGAGAAATCCCAAATGCAGGATATATAAACACACCTGATGTCTTTAATGTCAAGTCCACGAGCAGCAACATCAGTCGCCACAAGCACGGGAGCCCTGCCCGTACGAAACTGATTCAGTACATAGTCCCTCTCACCCTGGGACTTGTCTCCATGTATAGCAGCAGCTCCAAATTGACGGGTCAGATTACGTGCTAGTTGATCACACATCTTCTTGGTTGAGCAGAAAATTATGATCTTTGAACCAGGTTCTTGAGACCTCAATATCTGCTCTAGCCTTCGATGTTTCTCCATTGGCGCCACAACTTCAACATGCTGTACAGCATACAAGCAGAATATAAGATATCCCTTTCCAGTGTAGTTAGAAAATCCAGATCAGGATAGAAATGAAATGATTCGAATCAAGCCAAGCAGCACCTGTGTAATGGACTTGTTCGCCACAAGCTCATCAACATTGCCAATGTTCACCTGGACAGGGTTGACAAGGAGGTCAGCTGCAATTTTCCTCACCTCCTTTGGCCATGTTGCTGTGTACATGAGGGTCTGGCGCTTAGTAGGAACCTCTTTCACTATCTTCCTTATCTGAGGCTCAAATCCCATATCCAACATTCGATCTGCCTCATCTAGTACAAGATAAGAGACCTGATGAAGGCTGATTCTCCTCATTTCGAGGATATCGTTCAATCGTCCAGGAGTTGCGACAACAATATCTACTCCTCTTTCTATCTCTCTAAGTTGAGGACCCTTTGGTGCGCCACCATACAAACACTACAACACAGAAAAAAAAACATGTCATTCAATGCATCAGCAATATTGATTGATGAATGCTTGGAACAGCAAGCAAAACACATCAGGGTACATGCAACCCACATGACAGAAAACAGATTCACAGGTTAAGAGGACCACTACTCAAGTACAACATGCCAAAAATTGAAACCCAGGATTATGACATACCGCACAAGAAATTCTCAATGACTTCCCAAACTTAACAGCTTCATCTTGAATCTGTGTGGCCAACTCCCTTGTTGGTGACAATACCAGAACTGTCGGACCCATTCGTGGATCACTGTGGAAGCGTTTGATATGCATAAACCCTGGAATCAAGTAACCCAACGTTTTTCCAGAGCCTGTTTTAGCAATGGCTACTATGTCTCTACTTTGCAATGCAATTGGCCATGACTGAGCTTGAATTGGAGTTGGAGCAGAAAATCCAGCACTGTGTACCTGGGAAAGCAGAAAATCAGGATGCCTTATGAGCAGAGGAATGCCAAGGTTCTTTCGGGGCTTTGCGAGTGGTGGTTAATGCCAGAAGGAGCATCATCCCCCATTTGCAGGCGGCAAAAACTTGCTGATGAAACCTGCAGCAGGAGGACGCCTCTTCTTCTGTCCAGACCCATTGGCAAATGAATCATCACCATTGACAGGCCCTGCCACAAGCTTGAATGATTTGGAAAGCCCTTCCCAAGAAAATGGTCCAACAAGAAGGGCACTCCAAATAAATTGCAAGGCCCACATAGAGAGGGTGGCACAGCGTACGACATTAGCTCCTCCCAGGAGCAAATATCGCACCTGGGACAAAAAGAAGAAAAATTGCATTTCACATAAAGTTTTCTCTATAACTCAAGTTGGCCCTCCAGCAATCATCAAAATTTTACATATATGACTCAAACAAGAAAACAACACTCAGTCAAACGGATAAACAATTGAGATCAGGTGATTGCCCCTCCATCAATCACAAAATCTCACATAAACCTACAAGGGAGCCCTAGATACATATAGCTCCCTTACCTAGAAAACAGTACTAGAATCCTTAAACCTAGAATACAGGAAAAGACTATTAACATGGCATACCTCCCGCAGAAGCTCTGGAGGAAAACCAGCATCTTCAAAAGACATTAAAGGTGGCGGTACCAGGTCCCCCTGGTGAAACGAAGAAAAAAACCATCAGAACCAGCAGGAAAGAATCTTATGTATTTAATAAGCAAAAGAAATGAACAAATTTGAAAAAAAAAATAATCTAATAGATTGTCCCAATGTAAGCAGTTAAACAAAACGCATATAAAAACAGGAACATGGCCAAGGACATATAAATCACAGAAATGGTGATTCAAGAACGGAAAAAGCATGAGAAAGAAGCAAGGATAGATTGCCAAGGGAATTCCCAGATACTAACAGTGACAGTTATTTCATGACGACTACGATAAGCCTCTGAAGACAGCCCATTTCCTGCAGCTGCAGCTGATGGTGGTCCTCTGGCTGATGATCCACCGAATGCAGAATTTCCTAGTCCATTTGAGGTGTCTTCAAAATATGGTGGTCTCTGCAACCAATTAAGGCATAGCGTTGGACATATGCAAACCGAAAGAAGCAGAAGAATAGAAAGGCCAAGGCATAGTGTAGAATATACGAAAATAAAAAGAAGCAGAAGAATACAAGACTGAGAACAAAATCGTCACAAGCAGTGCCAAATGATTGCTATGAAAATCTCAGAAAATAATGTGCAAGTACGACAAAAAGCACCAACAATCACTAGTACAAATGACAAAATTACAGATATAGAGGCCAGTACCTCGGTAAACCTTGATCCAGATTCAACCTTGGACCCATCATCACTTTCTCTACCAGATTTATCATCCTTGTTGCCAGGACTGTAACCACGGTGTTGTCCAGAAGAAGATTGTTGAACCTGAACAGAAGAATTTATCGAGACAGAAGAACTCTTGGGAGGAGGAGCCGAGAAACTTGGTCTCTCATACTGGGTAACATTGGTCTCAGGATTCCAGAAGTACAGATACCCAGTTCTACCATCAACAAGACCTTTCCATGGCTTGGGAAGAGTCGGATCTTCGGGTGCATAGCGAACTGTAGACGTGGCAGTTGCTGTAGAAGCCATAGCAGGCATACCAAGAGCCCTGCAAAAACATGTAATAGAGAAAATAGATTCAGTAACTTGAACCATCCCCGAGAATCATAACAGGAAAGTAACAAGGGATCAAGAAACCAAAGCGGTGATAACAAAAGAAAACATCACTATCCCAAAACTGCCCCAATTGAACACAGGTACAGAAAACCATCCCTTCAGCAGCAGTAACACAAGACCTTTTACCAAAACAACAAAGTTCGAGGTCTCCGGTTTTCAATCATCAGAAAAAGACCATCAAAGCCAGTTAAAATCCTCGTTGATACAAAAGCCCCACACACATCATATATATACACACCACAAAACAATTTACCGACGAGGTCTCCGGGTTCCTCCCATGTTTTCAATTTTCCATTCATAACCCATAAACTAAAACTCCTCTCTCGAGAAAACAATGAAGCATCCGAACCAAATCCCTAGAAATTTGCGGATCCAGATACAACGGGGACGAAAACCCTAACACGACCGATTCCATGTCGTTGTTGCCCGGGACAACTAAACAAAACAGAACCAAACTACGACGATTCAAACTAGAATCTGAAACGGAAGAAACCTAAAATCTTCAACTACGGAAACTAAGCGACGAATCAGATCGGAAGCGAGAAACACGTCGGTCGATAAATTTTATAAGAAAGGAAGCTCCAAGGAAACCTACCGGATCCTCTGTAGGGAGAGCGGAGAGAAATCGTACGAATGATCGGAACGATGAATCTCGGAAAATCTCCAGAGCCACCAACCTTTGTACTCCTTGGTTCTATGTTTCTCTCTCTAGAAATCTACGCCAAAAAAAAGGCGTAGCCAAGAGAGAGAAACTCGGGAATGAAGAAAATGTGCGTGCAGATGCTATATATAAACCATTGGTTGGATTCTAAACCGGACCGGTTTGAGGGCTGATGTGGTTCTCGCTGAACCGGAGAAAATGGCCCGACTGCCTTCCCAAGATTTATTTATAATATAATATTATAAGCATAAAAACCGTGAATTTTATTAAAAATTTAGGAAGGACGGTGAAAAAATATATATATAAATTTCGATTTAAAATATACCAATATAAAACACCTAATATAAATATAATGAAAGAAAGCTTGTTTTCATCCAAAAGATGGTGAAAAATGTTGGTAATGTCTAAAAACAAGTACAGAAATATATCCACGAATAATAGATTACTAGGGACATTTGGGCTATATTTAAATGAATGAATTGGGCTTTCAAATACCACTTAAATGGGCTGGCTGGGTTTATAAGAAGAGGCCCTTATCTGAAATCAAACTGACACACGAAACTGTAAATTTCCTTCTGGGCTCGAATTGAAAATAACTAAATATGAGGTCCCATTTTCGTAAATTTCTATTATAAGAGCCGGGTGGAATGCGTCCCTCCCTCTCTCTCTCTCTCTCTCTCTCTCTCTCTCTCGTTCTCCGACAGATCCTTCTTTGGAGTTTCGTCGCAGGTAAAATCTCCATTCATTTATTCACTCGATTTCCATTCGGACTTCGGAGATCTCATTTTTTTCCCCTTCCTCCAACATATCTGGTAATCGATATTGATCTCCATCATTCCCTGAAATCTCGTCGGCTCGAGCTATATAGGGCTCCGGCGGTTACCGATGTAGGCTCAATTTGTAAGAGTAGAAGTCGGACTCCTTTGTTGAATTTGTACGAGTTTTAATGGAATCGATATGGTTGAGTTTGGAAATGGTTCAGCTTATTCTGGTTTGGGTTGCATGTAGATTTGTTTTTGTATTCAGCATGGTTCATGTCATCGTTGTGTTCTCGCTGGGTTTTGCTTCCTTCCTTTGTCAGTGATTCTTTGTTGTGGATCATGTTGGTTTGGTCCTCTGTCCTAAAACATCTCTGTTATGTATAGCTTTACTTCAACCATTTTTGTGTTTTTCTTGACTTTCCCTGTTGGTCTAATGGCGCATGGTCACAGGCTACTAAGAGAGCTGAACGATGGGTCTCAGCTTCACAAAGTTGTTCAGTCGGCTTTTTGCCAAAAAAGAAATGCGGATTCTGATGGTAGGTCTTGATGCGGCTGGTAAAACCACAATCCTATACAAGCTGAAGCTCGGTGAAATTGTCACCACCATCCCAACCATCGGTACGTTTCCGTACTCCTTGACACACGTTATCCTGACTGATATGTATCATGTGTGTCTTTATGAAACAAACCTTCATTGTGTCTTTGGCTCAACTGTGAGAAATTTCGGCTCTAAGACCTCGACGGAGCTAATAATCTACTGCTCTTGCTGATTCTAGTTTTATAAGGGTGAAAGTTTTGCACTCAAAATTTAATATTGTGGGAGGTCCTTGTTGTCAGGGTTCAATGTGGAGACTGTGGAGTACAAGAACATCAGTTTCACTGTTTGGGATGTGGGTGGTCAGGACAAGGTAAACGTCTTGTCTTGACTCTGCCTCGACTCGATTGCAGAGGAATGCACATGTGATACATGTTCTAGGTTTTAAGCTGCTCAGAGTTTTGATAATGTGGGATGGGATTGGCTACTTCTGATGGGATCTTTATTCGCGCATGTGATGTTTTTCTATTTCCTTGAAAACAGATCCGTCCGCTGTGGAGGCACTATTTCCAGAACACACAAGGTCTGATATTTGTGGTCGACAGCAATGACAGGGACCGGATTGTGGAGGCAAGGGATGAGTTGCATCGCATGCTGAACGAGGTATCTTTCCCTCTTGTTTTTTTTTTTAATTATCTGGTTTTTCACAAGGAGATGGAAACGTGAGATTGTTGCAGGATGAGCTGAGGGATGCAGTCCTGCTTGTGTTTGCAAACAAACAAGATCTTCCAAACGCGATGAACGCTGCAGAAATAACCGACAAGCTCGGCCTTCACTCTCTCCGCCAACGCCACTGGTAACTTTTTCTTTGAAGGTTGTTTCGTTTCTCTGTCTTGGAATGGATGGGCAGTGTGTATATTGATGTTGGTATAAAAATCAGGTACATACAGAGCACATGCGCCACATCCGGAGAAGGTCTATACGAAGGCCTTGATTGGCTCTCCAACAACATTGCTAGCAAGGCATGAAGCTGCAGTTGAAAGGCGGATCCCATGGTGTCTGTTATTTTCTGAATAAGACACTTATGAATATCTCTCTCTCTCTCTCTCTCTCTCTCCAGACAATACGAAGCAAAACCCCCAATCGTATATTGAGTTGAAAAGTTACGGATTGAACGTAGAAAATACGAAACGTACGAACAACAGCATCGTCTCCGAATGATCCTACGACTCACTCAACACAAAAAATGCAAGGTACCATTCGAGTTCTGTACAGATAGCGACAGGCAAAAGACTTGATGACCGTGAAAAACTGACGAATCATCTTTTGGGCCTCCGTAACATTTTAAATACCCAAAATGCCCTTTTATCCCGAAGAATGGGCCAGTTTCATCGGCCCAAATATTATACAACATTAATTGGAAGGGCCTCAAACGTAATCCAATGAGATTCTAAAGACGTTTGATAGGAAATTACAATGTTGACACTATGATGCGCTCTTGCGTAAAAATGTCAGACATAGTTTCGTTTTATTACATATATAAACCAAACCCAACGTACAGATGGCTTCATCTTAAGCTCCTCCCGATAGAAAAAAAAAAAAAGGATTGCGTCTGTACGTAAAAGATAGATAGATGAGCTTCGTCCCTCTAAATTTCAAGCTGCATCTCTTCTGATATATACATCCCACTCTCTTCTCTTTTCATCTGTAATCTAGACTGCTTCACTGTTCAAGTGTGCATTCTTAGGCTTTTTATTTTTTTATTGTTTCTTCTTATGCCATATATATTTTCAAGAGATGCATGATATATTTTCAGACATCATGGTCTTATTTTTTGCGTATTGCTCTTGCGTCAGACATCATCCCAAGAAGGTTTCGATGACGAGGTCTCTAAAACCACGCAGGTAAAAAAAAATAAATAAATAAAAGAACCACATGCAGTGGTTCAATATACACAATAATGATAATAAAAAGGAGTGGTACGTACTACGTAGTGTTGTGATATGATGATGTTGGTATCCTGAAACGGGAGCCACGTTTTGGAGATAGGACCTTATCCTCTCAGCCAAAACAACGCGCCCGTCATGTCTATTTCTCACCACAAGTTCCCTTTCCACCCACCCCCATCTCCCCCCTTTTTCTACCACGTGTCTCCATCTCGTTTGTTCTTTTCCCACAACAAAGGAACAAGCACCAAGTATTTTCAACCGGTTGCATGCATGCACCGTATTACTGTTACTGTTGTATGTATTAATATTGACCCAGAAAATCTAGATTGAAACCTTGACCTCATGTATGTACTTAAAGAATGAAACCCACAGAGCACGGGGCAGTGAAAAATCTTATTAATACGCAGAATCGAGTGTTTGATTTTTCTCTCGGGACCCATACAAATCTCTACAACCGCAGCTAATCAGAGCCAGGAAAAAAAGAAATAAAAGGAAATCGCGGTCGTTCATCATCCACAAAACGGAACGAACGTTTCTAATTCACCCCACCCTTCGCTTTCATTATCCTCGTTTCAATCTTTTAAGCACTCGCCTTCCATTCGCGACATTAACCCATACCCTCTTGTTCTAAGCAGCTAATTAGTCTATATATACTCCCACTAGTCTTACATCTCCTCGCACCCTGAATATCGACGGCTCCCGTCGGTTTCTTCCGCGCCTCTTCTCAGTTTTTCCCTCCAGAAATCCTCTCTTCCTCCCTCTTTCGTTGCCCGTCTCTTTTCCTCGTCTTCTCCTTCTGTTCTCAGCCTTGCCCGTATTCGCTGCCCCTGCCCCCATCATCAACCCCCTCTTGGGTATGCACTCCATCTCTTTATCTTTTTCTTCTTCCAGTCAACGTGCATTTTCGCATTACGTGTCTTTGCATGCGCTATGTTTATCATGCGTTAGACGAATGTGAACATATATGTAAATTATATATTTATGGTGTGCGAAATAGGATAGGAAAGTAACGAATAGATAATTTAGGAGGTTATTTATATGTTCATCACAATGGTAGATTTCGGAAGTTACTGTGCAAAATCACTATCAAGGTCATACGAACAAAAGGAGACTTCAACCTTATACTTAGTTGACGGATGGAAAAAATTAGGTAATTGATTATAGTGAAAAGGACACCTCTCCACTATCGTAATATGTGTCACAATTTGGACTTCGCTTAGCACGTGTCTTTCAAAGGTACTCTCCGGAAAGGTGGGAAGTAATTATTTAAGTTTTTAACAGAGTCTGTATAAGATTAAATATCACATCTATATGAACTGTATAGTTTGGATCATTATCTTTATTTTGATAAATTTAGTTAGTAATTTAAATTCATCCAATATATATACACAAGAAAGGAGAAAAATGTGTGTGTGTGTGGAGTAGATTGGTTCTCACGTCACCGTCTATATTTATTTTTAATACCCTAATGATATTGCTCCTAATTAAGGCCCCCTTACCAATCTTACGCAACCGTATTAGTATATTATACTATATATATATATATATATATATATGTGTGTGTGTGTGTGTGGATGTTTTATCTGTTTACGCCATAGCATTTTGGATATGGGCAGTGTAGTTTCCGGTAATAGTTATTTTTAATTTTGTTGGGCCAATAAACTTGCAGAGAGAAGACATGGGGAACGAGTCATACGAACAAGCCATTGAAGCTCTCAAGAAGCTTCTCATGTAAGCATTTCCCCTATCTGTAGGAGATTAATTATCTTCACTGACAAAAAGAAAAAATGAAGAAAAAAAAAAACTTTCTTACACGCTCTTTTATATATCTATTAATTATGACAAACTGTTTGCATTATATATATTTTAATATATAAACTTAAAACTAGCTAATAACATAATATTACAGTTTATATATATACACGCACACACACACGGTGTCTTTTCAATTTTCCGCTGATAAATCAAAGCCGCTTGGCATCGTCAATACCATTAGCAACGGCACATTTGATCGATTGTAGCTGTAACTGGCAGGGAAATATGACGTACACTCTGTTTATATAATATGGATGATTGAAATATTAATTTTTGTTATTTTTTAAAGATGATTAGAAACAACAACACAGTTAGTGGGAGTATATGGATTAAGTTATAATAACAATAATAATTAATGGACGGTGATTAATTAAGAAATTAAAACAAATAAATGAATGGGCAGAGAGAAGGGAGAGCTGAAGGCGGTGGCAGCGGCTAAGGTGGAGCAAATAACGGCGGAGCTTCAGACAGGTTCTTCGTCCGACAGCCCCGTCGAACGCATCAAGCAAGGCTTCGTCCACTTCAAGAAGGAGAAATACGAGTACTTATTCATTAACCCTTCATCTCTTCATTTATTTATTCTCATTTTTAATATCTCCCCTTTATTAAATTTATATGCTTATTTATTCTCATAATCATACACAATACACAGTTTTATAATACCTTTTCGCCCTTCATCATTTCCAGCAAAAACCCAGCTTTGTACGGAAAGCTCGCCAAGGGCCAGAGTCCCAAGGTAAAAAATAAAAAATCGAAAAAAAAAGTATAATCAGTTTAATAAGTCTGTATATATATATGTATATGTACACACATATATATATACATTGCAGTGTTATTAGGGTTATCAATACGAAAACTAATTAAAGAAATGAATGGAAAATATGGAACAGTTCATGGTGTTTGCATGTTCGGACTCACGTGTGTGCCCATCACACGTGCTGGACTTCCAGCCTGGAGAGGCCTTCGTGGTTCGTAATATCGCCAACATGGTTCCTCCTTACGACAAGGCAATTAACTCCTCTACATCATCACTTTGTTACCATCATATATATACATACATATACACTGATTCACACAGACAGAACCAAAGTGTTTGACTTTGACTATTTGGATTGATCAGGTCAAACACTCCGGAGTTGGAGCCGCCATTGAATACGCTGTTTTGCACCTTAAGGTGACACTCTCCACATCCATGTTAAATCTGCCCGCGTGATATATATATATATATATAAATATATGAAGCCCCATTCATAGTTTTTAAATGGGAGATTTACATGATTCATATAGATCGAAGAATTACACTGATTATTTCAGTGGGAAAAAATGATTGAGATTTTTTTTTAAAAAAAAAAGTGGAATGCATGGCCAGTGTCTGGGGGCCAGGCCGAGTCGATCGATTGTTGAGAAAATTGGACCGTATTGGACGACCCTTCTGAAAAATAAAAGCAATGAGTTTTTTTGGTAGTACACAATGTTTGGTAATATACTGTGCCGCATTAATAATATTATAAATTCGTATTCAGGCTGCGAATAGGTCAGTGTGGTATCTATATTAAATGGAAATATTTGGCGTAGGTGGAGAACATCGTGGTGATTGGTCACAGCGCATGTGGTGGAATCAAGGGGCTCATGTCTTTCCCATTCGATGGATCCAACTCCACGTAAATTTAATTAACCAATTAATATTTTTTCATTTGTCTTCAGATTCAGCAATAATTAGCGTGGATAACGTTTTGTTAATACAAATTAATAATATTTATACACAACTACAAAATTTAAATTGAATTAAAAAAAAATGGCAGTGACTTCATAGAGGACTGGGTCAAAATCTGCTTACCGGCGAAGACAAAGGTTTTGGCAGACCATGGAAATTCAGCCTTTGAATCCCAATGTGCCCACTGTGAAAAGGTAAAATATTAAATCTCGGACATTCTTCAAAGAAATGAAAATCAATAATAAAACATACATATACATACGTTCACATGCATGCATTGTATAATATTATGGATATGATGATGCGAATGTATATATATGTAAATGTTATCTCTTATTTTATGTCACATATATATGTGATTGTGATATATAATGAAACCATATATATATATGTGTATTTATAGGTTAGTAATAAGTGTTGGAAAATTGAAAAAATGCAGGAAGCAGTGAATGTGTCGCTAGCAAATCTGTTGACATACCCATTTGTGAGAGAAGGGTTAGTGAAGAAGACACTTGCTTTGAAAGGAGGCCACTATGACTTTGTCAAGGGCTCTTTCGAGCTCTGGGGACTTCAGTTTGGCCCCTCTGCCGCGACCTCTGTCTGAACCAACCCATCATCATCATCATCATCATCATCATGACCATCATCAACATGATTTCCATCTATATCAATATCCATGTATACATTTTTCTTTCACCTAATTCGGCCATGTCCATTTAATTCGCAACGTGCCATTATGATGAGCTTCCTCTCCCTCTCTTTCTTCACCTTTCCGCTTTGTAATAAATGAAAAGACCAGGAGATACATGTATGCCTTCCGCCGCTTTATCGATGCACGCAATATAAAGGAAATCTATACAGATGGTTTTTATGTTGCAATGTAAATGTCCGTTGGGAGCTTAAAACTACATTATACTATATATTAGACCGATTAATTAGGAATAATTAACCGCAATAGATTTGTAAACCCGAATTTAAACTCAAAGCTCGACGTTCGAAACAAGCAGTACATAAACATGAAATTTGTCTATTAAGAGGAGACAACCTTTTTTTTTGTAATTGAAGAGGAGAAACCTTTGTCATAGAAATGTATAGGGCCTCACGAAATATTTAATTGTGACATCAATTTCTTATATTTATTTTATTTAAATGTCGAGGGGCAGCAGGAGGGAGAGTTCTAACATCAAATGGTGTCATTTACATTCGCATTGATGCCCTATTAATTACCCCATGAGATTTTATCTGGCGAAATATTATTGCTCTGTCCTAACTTATTGCATCCCATATTAATTTTGTGTTCCAATAACCTTTACAAGGTGTGGCCGGCCCTACACTGATTAATCGCGTATCCCTCGAGGAGTTTTTTTATATAAAAATATATATATATATTTTAGGCATGATTCCTACAATAGTTACAACAACCCATTTAGTTGTTCTTTTCACCGTTTCTAGAGTATCATGGTATCCGATATCTGAACTAAAAAAGGAACGAGAGAAGATAGTGTGAATATTGAAGTAGAAACACATATATAGCACGGGTATATAGTTTGTAACCATTTTTTTTAAAAAAAAAGCTAATTAAGTAATCATACAAATTTAATATTCATACCATAACCGATGATGCATCACAGATGACCAGCTTGGAACGCCAAACAAATAATACAAACAGATATATAGAAGCGAACAAGATAAACATGGACCAAAACACCATCAAAAGATGTCTCCATCTATGAAATCCATCATAGTGTTGAGTGTGCTGAGATCAAAGCCACCATCATCATGATGAATCCAAGGAGAGTCCATATAGCAGCCTTCTCCGGTTGGAAGTGCTTGAAACTGATCCAATACTCCTCTATTGGTATCACCGATCAACCATCCGTCATTAACATTTGAAAATTTGTCTGCGGATGCTTGTGTAGGAGACTCATGAGCATCGCCATTGATGGACTTCCTCGTTGTCTGGTCTCTGATTCCTAGTTTCTTGCTTAGATGTGTGTTCCAATAGTTTTTCACTTGGTTGTCAGTCCGACCAGGCACCCTTTTCGCGATCAAAGACCACCTACGTACACACCAACATCCATTCATGGTTATATCTTCATACATACATATATATATATATTATTGAACAAGGACAATTGTATGGAACAAAAATCTTGAAACTTATCTGTAAGATTGGCTTGAAAAATATACATCATGTGTCTTTTTTTTTTTTATGGAAATCGTGTGTCTATTTTCTTTTGAATATAATTAGAAACAGAAAATTTACAAGGTTATAAAGATAGATACAATAGATGAAAAATGACCTTTTTCCAAGCAACTTGTGCAGCCTAACGATGAGATCTTCTTCTTGGTCAGTAAAGTTGCCTTTCTTCACATTTGGGCTAAGGTAATTCATCCACCTTAACCTACAACTCTTTCCACATCTCTTCAGACCTATTAATACACAATGTTACACATATTCATAATATTGATCGATATATATATATATATATGTATGTATGTATAAGAGAAGGAAGAACTGACCAGTCTTTTTAGCAATGCGGTTCCAATGGCCTTTCCCATGAGCTTTTACATAATCCGTGAGGATCCTGTCCTCTTCTACCGTCCACAAACCCTTCTTGTACTCACTCTTTCTGAATCTCATGATTCCTATAATTAAAAGAGACATTTCATATTTCTTTCTCATCTCTTCTACCTTTCTCTCTCAAAGAGAGAGAGAGAGAGAGAGAGAGAGGTGTTCTTAATTTGTTTGAGTTTGAAAGGAGTCATTGTGCAATGATGTGGCCATATATGGAATAGCTATTCAATTATTTAAGCCCCACTGATAAAAGAAAGACGTAGACGGTGACGTAACATGCAATCGAATTAGTGCCATGCAAGAGCCACCGCAATTATATATACTGGTCGTACCATTTTTTTTTTGTCAAAGCTGGTCGTACCAAATTCATTGAACATATTTGATTCTATCGGAATTTTAATGCATCGCATAATTCATTCATCGGAATTTCCGCATCTTAAATAAATCTCCCGAAAAACATGCATACCTGCCATTGGATTTATCGAATCTCCAGAGGTTGTGATGTGATGAAGTGGTTACTAGGATTTGGTGTATATATATATGTATATAATTCACGTATATTAGGGAAAATATATATGAACAAATCCCAAAATGTATTTAAGTAGTATATATTGTATGCCCTCCAAAATTTGTCAGTCTTCGTTAAAGATTATACTGACCGCATAGTGTGGTCCAATGATTACACGAAAATCACGTGGCTATAAAGGGATTCGTATTTGATGATCGACCTCCTTCATGAATCGATAATTCATCTGTCAGGCCAATGCTAATTTATGAGCATTTAAATTACTTGATTCATTAATTAATCTCACACGTAAAATTTATACCATTTAGTAAATAAATGTTAATGCAAACGGCTTCATAAAAAAATAGATTTAAAATTGACAGAACAATAGCTGGATTTAAAAGCTGTTCAATATATTTCAAATATATATTTTTTAAAGCTTGTACGGTTTGATGAAATACATCTAAATCGGCCCATAACCGAAGGTCCAGACCATGTTTGTGCTGGTCTCGAAATTAGCCCAACCAATAAAATAAATAAAAGCTCGAAGCCGGTCCATCTTTATTATAGCTTAACCGGTCCAACTATATCCACATGACTCCTACCGCGATTAAATTGCGCACATCCTCTCCAATTCTAAAATTGAACCGACCACTTTGAACGTCTAACGAATATTTAACAATATGTAACCTTAATGCACACCACAAAATGGTTTATACACACTGTTAAAAAGACAAATATATAGATTTCTCAACAAATGTCGACTTCAGACACCGTGAGATAATAACATTCCAGAATAATGAATTTTTGTTATAATTTTATCTGTATGTAAATTAGGTAACGGCTCTTGGCAACGGATAAGGGCATGTTTTAACGTTTTCTTTCAGACATATATCATGAAGATTATATGTCTTGTCGTTTCTCTCTTGCCATCCCCATGTGAACTTTTTGACTCTTCCTCCTTTCCTTTCCACAAGAAACCACACACACACACACACACACGTATATATATATATATATATATTGTTTAAACAAAATAATATCTATATATTGTTAGCGGCGAACATTTCATTTTTTCTAAATTGCCTCGTTCTTGTTCTATTATATATATATATATATGTGTGTGTGCGCGTTTTCATTTAAGCGTATTTACTAAAGAATATATGTATGTATCTCCAACCCAGAATTTGCACATTCAAATATGGATATTGAACCATGTTTTGAAAAAATTGTATTTTTTATGAAAACGTACAAATATTTTTCTGCCGAAAAATGTTACAGATATTTTTATTCCGTTAAAAGCCTTACTTTTATTTTTTATTTGTTTGTTAGTTTTACGTTTAATTTATTTCAATGATTTTTTTTTTTTACATTTTAAGTCACATGAACCCTTGAGGCGGCCAAAGATTTCACGGGCATGTCGATGCAAATCAGCAACGACTTTCAGATTGAATGCAATGAAGGCAAAATAAATACTCAGAAATAAATAAAATGGACAAATAAATGAATGATATAAAGTTAATTTTGCATGCTTATGGTACGTCACTTTCCTTATCTTTGCTTTCTTTCCCTCTTCCGTCTTCGGTTACAAGTCTGATACTTCTGTTCGGCTTCATCGAAGAATTCTTGCGGTTCTACGTGCATTCCCTAATTACGGCTATTCTATTATATCATATCAATTGTCAAATACATAAACAATATAGATATATGGAATAAAATATAGAAGTGTGTGTCTACTGTCCATTTTTTGACTGTCACGAGTGTTTTTTATTCTTTTATTTCGAACCATCAAAGGATTAGATACTCTTGAAAAATTTAAATAATATGGTTATAATAATATGACCCCAACGACAGTCCACAGAAACTCACGCATTAGAAAATATACATAGACTCCTCCAAAAGTACGTACAATACCATATTATTATTATTTTAAATGGCTCATAGCTCATTTTGTTTTTTTTAAAGGAAAAAGGGTTTCGGATAAAGTATGTATCATTTGATTGTTTAGCAATAAATGCTTTGATAGAAATAACACACAATTGCGAAAACGAAAGCCACAGATTTAAAATACAAAAGATTTAGGCTTAACTTAAAGAAAAGGTAACTCGAGCGATCATGAATCTCATGATTCCTATAATTAAAAGAGACATTTCATATTAAAATAAAAAGGCAGAGAGTTCGTGCCCTTTTCTTTTTCAATTGTTAACAAATTTTCAATGAATGTAATTAAAAATCTTATGTATCTCTCTTCATTAGAACGAGAGATTTGAAATCTATCCGAGTTTCGGTAGATTGGATTAAACTTCGCCACTTGAATAACTCATTTCGATATGTGATTGATGGTACGATGTTGGGATGTGTTGGAATTAACATGCATGCGTACCATATGTTAAGTCTTCGAGGATTAATGTTGTTGTAATACTGATTTTGGCGAGAAATAAAAAAGAAACCCAAAATAAATGTGTTAACATCTTGATGGGGGCGACACATGTCAGCCCATGTGGTCACGTGTACACTTAGTTCGAAAGTGTAAAAAAAAACAACTCCGGCAGGTTTCAGAAGCGCAAGGGTTCCGAGGCAGAGTCAACAGTGTGTCTATCTGCCGCAATAAACACAAACACAGCTTCCCCCACTTCCCCTTTACTCGTATCAGTCCAATCAGACGCACCCACAGGAAAATAAATAACCACATACCATCTAAAAAAAGAAAACTAATTCAACCCTTTTTCTGTAGAGCAAAAACCCATTTCCGTTCGCTCGTCTTCCCGGAAAAAAATGAAAGATCGTACCGAGAGCGGAGGAGGAGGGTATGTGAGAGCCGACCAGATAGATTTGAAGAGTTTGGACGAGCAGTTGCAGAGGCATATGAACAGAGCATGGACGACGGAGAAGGAAACAGGGGAAGAGGAAGCCAACAACAGCAGCGGCATCAACCAGTTTCAGCAACATCGGCAGTTGGTGTTGCAGAGACCTGTCGGCGTCGGATTTCGAGATAAGACGGCGGTTAGAAGACAAGAGTGGGAGATTGATCCTTCTAAGCTCATCATCAAAAGCGTAATTGCTCGTGGCACTTTTGGCACTGTTCACCGCGGCATTTACGACGGCCAAGATGTCGCCGGTACGCCACTCTCTCTCTCGGATTTTTTTTTTGATAAGGCTTGTGATCCGACTATATTTTCTAAGAAGACCGGAGAAACCCACGTGAATACTTCCCCAAGTGAGGTCGGGTTCCCGGGTACCGGTTGAGCCACCCATGGGTCTCTCTGGGAAATTTTGGTTACTTTTTTAGGTTTTTTTATTTTATAGAAACCCAGTCGGCTGAAAAAGCATACCCACTTTTCAAGATTCTGGATTTATTGAGGATCAATGTTGAAATGGCTCTTTGAGGGTAAATTTCTAACATTCCATGCAAAGTCTTTTTATTGGTATGATGAAAACAGTGAATTCATGTTTTGGATATGCAAAAAACGCTAAAACTTTCTATGTCATTCAGTAGAAAACAGTACATATAAGGCATGTACTAAGTCTAAAGTCTATACATGTCTTCATGAAATCAGACAGTAACGAAAGCAAAGGTACTTTCGTGGCAGAAACAGCCAATCTTTACTCGATGAGCATGTACCTGTCGTTGGGGGTAGATAGATTGGTTCACGTCCATTTGGCTCGTAGACCACTCTGATGCGCTCTATAGTGAAGTGTAAATATTTTGCTTGAATCATGGGGAAATTCTTCACCATAGCAAGCAGCTGTCTTAATTGAATCTCATAGCTACATTTGGGATTTTATTAACAAGTTAGTGAGTACAAATGTGGAAACAGTGAAGCTGCTTGACTGGGGAGAAGAGGGTCACAGGTCAGACGCTGAGATTGCTTCCCTTAGAGCTTCTTTCACTCAAGAAGTTGCTGTCTGGCACAAGCTTGACCATCCCAACGTAACCAAGGTAATGCATACACACACACATATATGATATATACATGTGTATATGTGTACACAATCACTAGCCTTATGCCCCCCAAAAGCAAGGGTCTGGTGGCCCAGTGGTGTGGATCTCATTTGGTTCTTTTTTTTTTTTGGGTGGCTCAGTTTATAGGAGCGGCCATTGGGACATCAGAGCTGAACATTCAGACAGATAACGGGGAGATGGGAA